AGCTCCAGAGTGGGCCCTGTCAACGCAAGCTCAAGAGTGGGCCCCCTATCAACGCAAGCTCTAGAGTGGGGCCCCAATCAACGGAGGCTCCAGCCGTCCCTGAGTTCGTGGCTCCGAGCAAACGCATGCGCATGTGTGCTGGCAGTGCCGACCCTCTTTTGCAAGGAGACGTGGGACGCGCCGCAGACAGCAACAGGCGGGGAGCGCGCCAAAGGTCCTTCCGGGGCTTGCGGGCGGACCAGATTGCATGTGGAATAGAAGCAAAATTGTTAATGCCGCCCTCATGCTCGCCCTCGAGCTCCAGGTAGTAGATGAAGCTGCTGAAGATGAGCACCAGTACAAATAAGAAAAAGAAGGGTACTGCGAGCGCTTTCCTGCGAAGCCAAACAGAAAACATACTGGTAAACAGAAGCAGCCGGCGTGACGAGCGTCTTGGCATCAGAGCTCAGCCGGCAGCACACCCGATCCAACCCAAGCCAGGAGAACCTCAATCACCCTCTTGCAAACCGACACACTTGAGAGCAAGGATGCAGCAGACGCCTCACAGCGCTGTGTGGCGTCGGCACCACCGCGCGATGCTACACTTGCTTACACGCTCTGTGGCAGAGCAGCGAGGTGCCTGGGACGTGGATGCAATAATCCCCCCTTCTGGTTGCACAACCAGCCACCAGCAAGGCAGGCTGGCAAGGCCTACTGTACATTTCGGAGATGTGCACCAGGTTCAACCTCACACCAGCTGTTCCTGAGTAGGGCAATAGGTGATGAGCTTGGAGGCGCGCCTGCTCGCAACGACCGCGTGCGCCAAGGGAACACTCAAGTGGTTGTACTGCCTGCCCCCACAAGCACCACGCAAGCGCAATATCAGTCTCGCTCCATGCTCCTTCGGTAATCAGCATGAGGTCGACGAGGGCAAAAAGATCTCGAGCTTCGGCATAACGGCGCTCGCATGCGTTCAAGGGCACCTTCGTGTCGCCAGCGTCCTTTCCAAATAATCGTGAAATTTGCGTGAGCATCGGTGCCACGTCCCTCAGGCTTCGGGACGCACGGCGACGATTCGAACTTTCTCTTTGTCACAAGATCCACGTTCCAACAATCCTTGGAACAACCCCTGAAACTTTTACTGCTGTTTGGTAAAATGTATGGTGCTCCGAAGCGTCAACCTTGCACGACGAAACAGAAAGTAGTTTGTGCTTGGGAAGCGTTGTGCACATCACAGCTGCACCTCAGCGCCAGACGGCGGCGCGGTTAGCAGGCGTGGGCAGAAACAGCCCAGGGAACGCACCGCAGCAGCTTCAGCATGCGCATCATGGAGAAGGCCCTCAGCACGTTGATGAAGCCACTTTGCCCGACTTGCACTAACCAGAACGGGACCACCGATAACACGTCGATCCAGAAGAAGACGTCTAGGTTCGAAAAGGTGGCCCATACCGTATCCTTGAACTGAGAGAGATGACCAAGGCCACAATCCGAGTCATTACCCCCGCGCACCATGGAGAGCACTGCCTTGAAAGGCAGGAAATACGTACCTCAATCACACACGTGACTCGAAAGAATAGCTCGAAGGTGAAGATCGAGTTGAATATCAAGTCTAGCTTCGACCAGCTGACACCACTCATTTTGTAATATTCGTCCTCGACCTGGAACCGCACGAAACACAAGGTCAACGTGGCATACGGCAAGCCCCGAATCTTTCCTCGCTCCCACAGCACCACGCTTCAAAAGAGACTGTTAAATCTTGACACGGATTCGAGTGACTCCTACAACAATTTTACGGACTTCAGTGCTACGAAGCAGGAACCAGCGTCCGCAAAAAAATGCGTTGGGAAGTAAGAACGCATGCCAAGCTGCACTTCGACAGATATTGTTGCAAGCATCTCCGCGGAGTATCGAGCCTTAAACCGAGCTTTGTGTGTGCAAAGCAGCTATTTCAGGCATGCAGTTATGGAAACTGCCACTGACAGTAAATACTAATAACGCCCTTATACAAAAATATGCCTTCTGTGTTGCACCAAGATCGCATAGTGAGCGGAGAGGCCTGCACTCCACGTCACGATATTCGGGTTGCGTGAAGGACGACAGAATTCAGCTGAGAACCGAACCGCGCGCACGCAGTGGGCCTGCTATAGCTTTCCACGCCGCGAAGACAAGAAAACGCAGAATAAGCGACTTAATTCGAACGTGAAGAAGCGCGGCGTGAACAGAAATATGAAGCTCGAGGGGGACACGAAGAAAGACACGTCAATCTCACCGTTGACATACAAAGAACCAAGACGGAGAACATGATGCTGGTGGTCAAGATGTACGAGAGAATGAACGCAGGTGTGGAGGAATAGGGATCCGTGAACAAAGTCCTTATTCTCCCACGTATGGTATTATCGTCATCTTTACTCGTATGTATTACGGCCACTGACTTCCGCGGGGAGGCGGTGCTCATGTCAAGATTTAACTGCTCTAGCATTTTCGCTGTCCTTTCCTTCTCCGATGCCTTTTGCTTTTTAACGTCCTCCCTCTTCGACTCGTCTATATGGACTGGGACTGGGGGTGCAGGAAAGGTTGTAACTGCAGAGAACATTTTTCACGGTTTCAAAACGAATCACGGAAAGTTTGAGAGGGTGTTCAGCAGCTTGGTGCTACGGCTGGTATGCCTTGCTACGAAGCCAAGGCCATGCCTAACGAGACGTGTTGACACCAACGTTGAGACGGAACGCCGAGGATGTTGCTGACTCCAAAGTTGAAAGATAAGTCGCTTTAAGTTGTTACGCGCGCGTTGACGAACAATCAATAGGACGCACAATCAATAGCGTATCGGTACAGCCAACCGATTCTCTCGAGAATAAAATAACTCACAACCCTGAATCCATCAACATTTGTTTGATGGATGGTTTGACATAAAATAGGATCGTGGAGTCCCCTCGCTCTGCAAAACAGTAAACACAATGATTTTGCCCATTTTACAGATATGTCCATAATATTATTAGGTTATATTACGTGACGTTTTAACGCTTCGATCGACGATTTATACAATGAAGCTCCGATCGACGATTACGTTGTGAGAGACATTGCACATTCGTGTTTGTTCGTTCTGCTTTCTTCTTTTTTACTTTTATCTTTAAATAAAATCATGACCCAATATTCCGTTCCAACTGCACAGTATCACCTAGAAGTATAGGAAGCCTGGTCCCTATTGACACCCGCATCGCGCGGACATGACGAATCCCATATTGTGCTGTTGGGTGTTTTTGGGGGAAGTCTCGGATACATCGAGATTTCCATATTCAAATAGTTCATAACGATTATCGTATCTAAAGAGTGGGTGTTTTTAGATCCAGACATTAAATACTTCTAGACATTCCTAGAAGGGATTCCTAGACATTAAAACTTTTTTAAATAAGGATTCACATGATGCACTTGTATCTCAATCCAGCGGAGGTTGTGTAGTTGGTTATAACGCATGTATCACGCACATGAAGTTCCCGGTTCGAATCCGGTCTTCGATTTACGCATACCCGTGATGTAATAGGTATTGATGGCAATTATCTATACCAATTGACGTGTGATAGCATATAACATTCAGCGCCTGTAGTCCAACGGTAGGATATCAGCCTTCCAAGCTGAGGACCCGGGTTCGACTCCCGGCGGGCGCACTTTAGTTTTGTCGCCGAGACTCGCCACGGCTTGATAAACGTGGACACACATGATCTTGATCGTTGATGTCCCTATCGTCCACTGGTCATTTGAACTTTTGATCTGTGTCACCGCAAACGGCAAATTAAAAAAAAAAAAAAAAAAAAAACCACCGCACGGCAAATGCCTTCGTCGATAATCGGATAAATACAGCGAAGAGGCCAAAGACGCACGATTGGCATCTACGGATCTAGTAGAGAATTTCGCGCAAACCAACGTCATATTTATAGTAACTATTACTTGGTCACTTTTGGGAGACCGATCGACCTATCGGGAGGATTTTCACATGACTCTATATACACGTGGCATATCATCTGTTACTTATATCGTTATTTGTCGCTCGCTCGTCATCGAGAACCAATGGTGATTTGCCATTTGTGCACTTACAAAAGTCGTATTGCAATGGCATCTTTGAGCTGGCATGTTCTGATTGGCTTTCCCGATAGTGGGTGCACATGGTAAGGGCCCTGCCAAAAAGCGTCAGGTAGGAAGGATGGTGTTCCCTCCCCAACCCCGCCCCTACCACCGTGGGAACGCCATTCGTCTTATCCCACCTTCGCACAAGGGAAGCTTATGGGAGCCGATTCATGCGAAAGGTCGCCAAAAGAGAACAATCGTGCCGAACCGCGCAAAAAACGCGAGTGAATCGGTTGTCGCGGGTTGTCGCGGGTTGTCGCGGGCTGTCGCGGGCTGTCGCGGGCTGTCGCGGGCCGCTGCTCGATGTTGTTTCCAAATGCTCGATGATGTCGCTTCGTTTCCAAATTTCGGGAGGAGAGAGCAAAATGTCGAACAGCATCAAGGATTTGGAAACAGAGCTCAAAAGTTATGATAGTGACGTGGCAAGAAATAGCATTCGTGTCACGGTTCGCTTATGCGAGAACAGGTGTTCCGCTCGGTAAAAACAAACTGGCTAAGCTCCCATAAACAGTCCGGCCGAGTGCTTTTATCATGCATCTCGGAAACCCGGATAATACGAAGTAATGACTGACAGTACAGTAGTATTGTACTGTCATCCTAGCTACTAGCGGAGTCACGGTTCCGATCAGAGACAGGTCAGGCTAGGGGCTATCAGAGCCCATAATAATAACCCTGAACCTAAAGTCCAGCACACCACCCGGAGCTGTGACCGTAGCTAATAGGGCTAGGCAAGCGGAGCTAACTAAACAGATAACAAACAGCACTTCACTGGAAACAGATATACTTTTAGCTGGGTGCCCGGGGACTTGTCCCGGCACAACCCACCACTGCGGCTAAGGCTAATCACACCTCCAGGTTTAGAAATAAGCAGACTCTAGCCACTGTAAGGCCGGTCGGCATAGCCGAGTTCGGCTGACGGATTCCAAGGCAGGAAAACATCCGAAGTAAGTTGAGACGAGACACCATAAATGTTGACACCACCAGACCCAAGTGGGTCAGGCGGATCCCAGAGTGGAGTGGCAAAAACATCAGATTGCAAAGCCGCTGAGGTCGATTGAGAAAAGAACTGTGCCACATCCCGCGGCGGCAATGACGAATCAGCAGTAATCACAGGCAGGCAAAGAGAATCCAGTAATGCATCACCGGGATGAACCGTACCGTAGCCGTAGGTGGCTCCGGGCTCAACCAGGCCCCTGACACCACCGCCGACCACGAGGGTCGGCATCGCCGTAGCACTGAATAGAAACGTAGCTACCATGAAAAGAGTGAGTGCAAATTCTCCGATGCCAAATGGCCTGGAGCCTCTGGGGACTCCGAACCGCCGAAATGCTGCAGCCGTCGGCGGTGCACCCCCCTCAATTTCAGTCAGGCAGACACCAGGAGGGTAGTTGGAGCCCTCCCCATCATCATCGGAATCACACACCTCAACAGGCTCAAGGTCAATGTCAAACCAGTCAGGGTGGACAGTGTTGAATGTTTTGAATGAATTGTCAGCAGGAGCCATCGGGCCGAGAGCCAGAGAGGCAGACGGCGGCACAAAGGCGGCACGGCTGACCTCATGCAAGCCAACCGGCTCACCATGCACGGGTGCAGAGGCCTTCGGCAGCAGCTGCTTGTCAGTGGTCGGCTCAGCGACACCACCAGCAAGCGGACCGCTGACCTCAGCAAATGCAACACGGCCAATGGAAAGATGCTCGGCAGGCGCAGACTCAGCAGAGGCAGCAGCATCCTTGAACTGCTGCAGAGCCGTAGGCTCTGGAGCAAAGGAATGCGCAGATAGTTCACAGATTTCAGGTTGCCCCACGAGAGCACACAAGTGCTCCATGGACCCCTCATCCCCAGCGTCATAGTACCGCTGAAAACGAAGGGCAAGCACGTCGGAGTCATAAGACTCGACGGCTTGGCAGTAGGATGCCGAGATGGACAATGGGTGAGTGTCCTTGTGAGGACACTCACTCAGCCAATGCTTTGACCCAACGGCGCGGCACTTCTCGTGCCTGCACGCTGGGACAAAGGTGCCAGACCGCTTGTCAAAAGCCACCTCCGGAGAGGCGGAGTGAGCAAGCGGTTGCACTCCAGGTCGGTGGAAGTTGCGCGGAGTGTGCTTCCCAGGGGGCGGCTTGGAGCCACCCCTCTTAAGGGAGTCCACATCCCGCTGCAACTTGACCAACTGAGCACTGAGCCGATCAATGGCCGAAGCCAGGCCAGTGTCAGTGGTGCAAGATGCGACAGACATGGGGCGCCCTGCAGTGCGCTTGCCCGAGAGCCGCCCGCAGCGGTACTGCTCGCGCACGCGTGCCTGCAGGGTGAGCAGACTCACAGCCGCACGCTGGTCAGCTCGAGCAAACGAGTCAACCAGCGTGGCGTAAGCCGGTCCAGACAGGGCAGAGAGGAATTGCCTTTTAACAGCGTCTTCGGGCAGCGTCGTCAGACGCTGTGCATCCCGAAGGCAGCTGTTGAAGAGGCGAATCCCCGCATCAGGGTCATATTCGTCAGAAATCCTCACTTCAAGCAGCTCAGTCAGAGCGTCGAACGGAGTCGACGCGTCAGCAAGCATACGCACCACCTCCAGGGTGGCGCGCTTGCCATCAGCAGGAACATCCGCACCAGAAGCCTCTACCCAATTACGGGCAGGAGACCCTGGCGCAGTCAGCAGCAGCAGCACAGAGTACAGAAGTTCATTTGCAGCAGGCAGAACAGGGGTGTCAGCAGCAGTCAGGTCAAACAGGGGTGCGAATGCCGCCGACTGCAATGTGAAGAGTTGCTGAAGCTCGGATACCAATTGAGAAAAAATGTCCGAAGCCGATGTTTCGTCCCCACGGAATCTCGCGACCTTGTCGCCAAGTACTTTTGTCGCTGCTGTTTTTGAACTCTGAACGTCAAAAGAATCTCTGCGCAGCCGATGCACGAGAGTGGCTGCCGCAGTCGAAGCCTCCGACGCAGCCGAATCCAAATGTGGAGTAGTGGGCGTGGCTGCGTTCAAGGCACCAACATCATCGAAAATTGTTGCTAACTTACGCGCTCTAGGGATTATTTCGCCGCTTACTTGAAGCGCGGTCAAGTCCGAAGTGTTTCGAAAATTCAGGGGGCGCTCCACTATAAAGTTAATTTATATATTTTCAAGAGAAAATCTTGTGATGGTTGTATAATTTCTGCACACTGCCTCTGCCCCCTGAACTTTTCATCGTAAGTCTCCCACCAACTGCCGGAACTACTGGCAGAAGTGTTTGCTTGAGCCCAATGCTCCTCATATACTTCCAGTACCCTCACGCATCTCATGCGGTACCACCATCGGGTTGTGAACCCGAGGGCACTGCGTGAACTACCCGCATCGGCTGGTCGATATAGCCTTTGATGCTCGCATGTTGTTCATTTCATGCTTGAAGCGAAGACGCGTCTTCTCAGAACACTTCGGTTCTTCAAGACTTGTCTTGCTTCGCCATCTCGATGCCAATACGTGGCCTCTCGATGACAGATGCCACTCACCTTAGGTGGATGACAGACATTATGACTGTACATGTCATAGTCGACCGTCAGGGTTATGACCGATGACACGTGTGTCATACATGTCATACGTGTCATACATGTCAGACATGTCATACCATATCATGTCATGTCATGTCATGTCATGTCATGTCATGTCATGTCATGTCATGTCGAGTCGTGTCATATATTATAATGACAGACAGTCGCCAGTACGGTCGACTGTGACATGTACAGTCATATCATCTGTCATTTACTCAAGGTGAGACTTGAGTGACACCTGTCATCGAGAGGCCAGTATGTCGGACTCGAGATGGCAAAGCAAGATTGAGCCTTGAAGAACCAAATGGTTCGGAGAAAGCTCATCTTCGCTTCAAGCATGTTCTGAACAAGCATGTGAGTATCATATGGCTTATTCGTTCAGCCGATACTAATTGTTCAACCAATGCCTTGGGTTCACAACCCGATAGCGGTGGCATCTATGAGATGCAGGGCATTCGGTATAGATGAGGTAGCGTTGGGCTACAGCAGTAACTTCGGACGAAGCACTGCACTCATCACCCGCTCTTACTCTGCACGAGTTGTTACTGTTCAATAACATCCGTGCTATCTTATCATATCATATCTCGCAGCTTGCTAGCGAGACCTTATCAGTTGGTATTCTGCTCGTCAAGGCGAGAACGAGGACAATCTAGTGTGAGTGCAGCAGTAGATATCGAATATTGTGTGCGCAGGTTTGCGGAGCGCGAATAATAACAGGCGTCGCAATCGCACATATACTGATATATCTATATAATATCGACCGCTGCATAAGCGAATATTGTGCGCGAGGAGATATCGTCAAATCGCAGCTGATCGTACATATCGTCACATATACAGCGCGAGAAGGTGTGCATGCAGCATACATATGCGCAGCGATCACATATACGCACAGTTACGATTCGCAGTTGTACGAAATTCGCAATATTGAGATGCGGATAGAAAAATCATCATCAGAATATGATCCGCGCGACAAATAGCATTTGTATCATATGTTGTTCATATGCGACAAGATGTGCTC